GAGGCCATCGCTACTAGTAGCAAGGACGCTACTAGTAACAAGAAGCTGCTATCCCTGGTGAGAAAAAGGACTTCTCCGACCTTCTCCGTCCTATGAACTCAGGAGGCAAACTCAAAAGGAGTATGGTCTGGTGGATGGCATCCTGCAGTATACTATTGGTCGCTGGCCGATCCACACACAAAGCCACCAGGCCCCAGAGTCTGTTTCTTAATCCCTTCTATGTTACAGTATATAAATAGACTTTGGATCGGAGGATCGGAGATCCAAAGCCCATCTCGGCAGTCCATGTCTCGGCCTGGCCACTGCACCAGCAGGAGCCCATCGACCTGGCGCACCCCCAAGGCTCCCGTGCGGCGCAACGCCTGTCGCCACGCCAAGCGCGTGGGCTCCAGCAGCCGAGCGAAGGCCCTACATGCAGAGCCGCAGGCCGTGAGCGCCTGGAAATCTCGAGGAATCGACCAGGGATATATGTTTTATTGAAAATCCTTGAAAAACCTCGTCTATCTGATTTGTTTCGTGTTTGTTCGGCCAGAAAGTCGTGGAGAGTGTTTGTTGAGAATCACTCAACATCGGTAGGAGGACATGAACTCTCTGGATGCAGATTGGCAGTCGCTGCGATAGTGACCAAATGAGCACTCTAAAATTGTTTTCATACTCATTTCACCGGCTATTAGAATCAAGTTGAATTAGAATTACTAGCTTCTTGTTGCTACTAGTAAGGCACTTGTTACTAGAAGCGATGCACTTGTTCCTAGTAGCGAACCTTGTTTATTGTCCAAAGAAATTTGTGCACCTCTGGCTCCAGGGACGCAAAGATGCATCGCTCCAGCTGGTGCTCCTCCCAATGCTCCGTGGCGGCCGCTACACGGCTGTGGGCGGCGCAAGGCGTCTGACGCGATCTCGCGACGCGCAGCCAAGCGGCGCAGCGAGCTGAAAGGGCGAGCGGCAAGGCAGGTTCATTTGAACTTCCAAAAGAATCAACTCCAAGAGAAAAAAACAACAATAACTTATCAAAGTAACAATTGAGATGAATCGATCTTCATCCTTGGACGGGATGGCTCTAGCGAAGCAACCAAGTGTTCTATAATTTTATCTCGACAGATTGACAAGCAGATGGTAGGTGTAGACGACTGTAACTCCTGGCTGGTGGTTGCTTGCAGTGCTTTCACTCCTGTTTTTTGCTGGAAGTTTCTCAAGGCCAACAACTTCTCAGTGTCGTGGCATGGCCAAACTCGAAGATGAAGGCATTCGGCGAAGCCGTCGGAGTCCTGCGGCCCGCAGAGGGAGAAAGTTTTTGGAACTTGTAGAAATTCTGGGCTCTCGGCCTATCAGGTACTCGAATGAAGGTCTGAAACCTGGGCTGGAAGCAGCGGACTTTAAGACTTGAGGGTATGCGAAAGTCTCAAAAATCGGAAAACATCGAGAATTAGTGCGAAGGTCATTGATCATTGGTTGGGGTTCCAGTAGAGCCAAAACAAATGCCTTTCCTGAGAAACAAATGTGTTTGGCATATTTGGGGAGGTTGGAGAGTGGCATGGTCATGTTTCTCTTCTACAGAGGAACGCTGCAGAGTCGAACATTAATATCTTAAACTCTTCATTACACAGCTCAGGAACTATTTACATCATCTATTTACACCTTAAGTATCGGAGTATCGATTATCAACCTGGAAGGTTCTCTAACATGAAGCACAAAGACACCCATTTAACCGAGTGTCACGTGTCAATGACCCTGCCACAGAACGAAAGGAACTCTTCTGTGTCTATGGAAATGATATTCTCAAATTATCCAAGTTGAAGTCTGAGCTCCAGGCCCATAGGTCTCGTTTGGCCAATACAGGCTCTCCTAGCCATCGCGCGAGAGAAGAGCTGCCCCAGCGTGGGATATTGGAAGGAAGGAAGCAAGCAAACAAGGAAAGGAAGGAAAGGAAAGGAAAGAAGGAAAGGAAGGACAGAAGGAAAGGAAGGAAAGAAGGAAAGGAAGGAAAGAAGGAAGAAAGGGAAGAAAGGAAGAAAGGAAGTGAAACTAGCTCCTTCCCCAAGTTACAGTAAGTAGCCTGACAAATAAAGCGAAGCACCGCCAAATAGTACCGAACAACTATATACGTTAACACTTCAGACACTGAAGTCCAGGAGTATTGGTGATTGATTGCGGTCCGTACTAGGAGTGGTGCTTGGAGATACCATGATTGAATGTACGTTACACCAGTCTGCCAAAGCCAGGTGGAGAGACATTGGAAGGCCAAGGTCAGAGCACAATGGCAGCGGAATGTTGCCTGGTGCTTCATATGGGGCTCCTATCCTACTCTAAATCAATTTGTGCTGCAAGACATCAACTTAACCCACAGTCCTGGTTCCAAAGGAGCACGTTTCCTTGTCGAAGTGGATAACCGCCTTCCGCACACGAAACGGATGTCACACAGTCGCTCGGCGGAGCTCAAAGCATTGCATCATGAAGTCATAGGGCTGAACTGAACTATTGGGTTGGAGGCCATCGCTTTTGGGTTCGAGGCCATCTCTACTAGGTTGGAGGCCATTGCTTTATAGGGGCTGAACTGCGGTCCAGTTTCTGGGTCACAGGACATTCAAACACTTGTTGAATCAAACGTGCAGTCACATGTGTAATTCATCTGCTGGTCACCTGGCAGATCCGCATTGGTTCCCAGTAGCACAAGGGACTGCGTCCTCAGTGGAACTGAAGGCAAATGTATATTGGAGAGAAAATGCAGAAATCCGCCCGCACCGGAGGTGCCGAGGGCGTCATGTAGGCTCGTGTAAGTTCGCAAGGAATCCGACTAGATAAATCCTAAGCTTTAGCTTGGGGGGGGTGCGTTTTTCTCCTACAAGTGCTGTGCTTTTCTTTTTTAAGAAGTGACTAAAGTTGGACCAAACATTTGTGATGCCGGTTATGCCGTTCGGTGCAGATCGCATTATTGACATCGCAGCTGTCTCGGCAAGCCAAGGGGCACTAGACTATGGATATGCGATGCCGGTTATGCCGGCCGGGGAAGACTGCATTATAGACATCGCAGAAATCGCAAACGTCTAGGCAAACCGCGGGACACTGTACGATTGATATCGTGGATGTGTTCGGTCGTGTGCCCAGTCCGACTGGATGAGGTGAATGGTATTGAGCATGTTGTTTTTTATTTTTTTGGGGGGAACAGTCGCATGTGGTTTTTGACACAGAGACAGAGACAGAGACAGAGACAGACAGACAGACCCAGACAGACAGAGACAGACCAGACCCAGACAGACCCAGACAGATCTAGACCCAGACAGACCCAGACAGACAAAGAGAGACAGACAGACACAGAGAGACAGACCAGCCAGCCAGCCAGCCAGCCAGCCAGGGTAGGCAGACAGACAGACAGACAGACAGACAGACAGACCGACCGACCGACCGACCGACCGAGACAGACTATTCACGTCGTGCGTGTGTTCTTCCGTGTGTCCTGCCCGAACAGACGCACACACTCCGTGCGGGCGGCTTCGTGCGCGAAGCGCTGTGAACAATACCACTGTGTATACCGTATACTATACCCATACGTTACGTTAGGAACAACATTGGCATGATTGGCTGCCTACACTTACCACCAAACAGGGGTTTTCACGGACGAAGGCATCAAGCTTTGAGCATGTTCTTTTAGCCCGCTCCCCCTCCTCCCTACTTAACTAAGTAAGGAATTGAGGTAGCTAGTAGGTAACTACTAACTACTGGATTTGGTTCCTAATTAGATGTTTAGGAAACTCAAGGTTGCAGGTTTGATCCTGCTGACCTTGTGATTGTGGATCCAAGGTGGAAATCACAAGCAATGCCAAAACTCCATTTAGTCTAGACAGGAACTTTGGGACTTGAGGAAGTTATAGGTATCCCTGCTTCGAGTCTTATTCAGGACTCATTGTCAAGTGGAACGTGCACATTGGCTTGACAAATCCTGAGACGTTGACGCATTCGGGAATAGGGCAAGGTGGCGGAACTCAGAATCCTGGAAATCCCAGTCGTACCTCAGCTCATCTCAGCTCAGTGCAAAGCGGATAGGTTGTGCATGTATCAACTATCTGGAATCAACCGACTACAATATGTGTGAAAACAACATGGTTGCGGCCGACTGCAGATCCAGAGTTGGAAAGTTGGCTGGAGCAAGTTGCTAGATACAGGTCAAATGGTTTCGCGTGAAACACTTGAGGAACCTGAAAAAGGTCTTGGGCAGTCGGGCAGTTTCTGGCTTGTCCAGCGGGTGGAGAAGACCACGCTAGGGCATTGTTGGCTGACAGATGTTTCGTGGCTTGGATTCTTTTAGTATAAAAACTATTATACATTGCTGCTAGTAGTAAGGCCAGGAGCGCCCCTAGTAGCGTCCGATCGCTCCTAGCAGCGATGCCCTTTGCTACTACTAGCATGCCAAGCTGGCTTCCCTGCACTTTGGAAGTGATTCCTGCCCTCTCCAAGTAATTGTCCATGTCTGAGCTCCCGGACCCAAACGGGGAGGTGACCTGCACAGGTGCTTCCCAGTTCTTCCAAGTTCTTCCATCAGTGTCCTGTTGGGGGGCCTAAGGTGCACTGTATTCAGAATTTGGGAATGAGATCCTTAAACCCATCCAAGTAGCGTTGAGTCATGCCCAATGACTTCAGCTTTGGTGCTCCCCCGAGAAAGCTAAGGTTGGCCAATCAACACGAGTGTAGGGTCAATCAAATAAGATCACAAATTATGTTCAGGTAGATCGTAATAATGTTCTGGCACCTTCCCAGACTTTTCAGTTTTCGACCATCCTGGTTCCAAGCATGTTGTTGACGTGGCAAAGCCTATCACATGACAGAAATCCAGCAAGCTCATGGCATGCGTTGGCTCTTCAATAGCTGTAACTAAAATTAACTAGAGCATGTTTGTCTACAAGCCTCAGCCAAACTAGAATCGAAGCAAAAGAGCTACCATCCGTTGCTGAGAAGACTTTGACCTCAACAAATCCATCCAAAGCCGCATGCCGCAGGCTGCTTCTTCAACCGAGCGCCAGACCCTCAACGTCGATGAAATGCGCTCGATGACCTGCAAACCAAGGCTGCACGTAATCATGGGCTTCATACTGTCAGGCACAGCGGGCCTTGAACTTGCGAGCCAAGCCTTTTTTTATCTCGTTTAATTTGCTGTGATAGTGCAAGTGATGCTTATGAGCCGCAGCTAGCCATCTAGCTGCATCAGCAAGTCCACCACACTTAACTTGGTGATTGCTGAAATATTGTGTGCATACAATGACTCCTTGGATATGTGCATGAGGAGCAACCCTCCTTTTGCAATGAAAATATGTTGATTGTACAAACAGCACTTGAGGCAAGGAAGGACTTCTAGACCCAAACGTGTTGTATCCAAAAAGAAGGTGGCTATTAGGTTGTGCCATCGCTAGTAGGTTGGAGGCCATCGCACAAAAAATGATGACTTACAGCAACCCCTCTGCTCAAAAACTGAGGCCAATCACCCGCAACGGGAGGATCGTCACAGTAGTGCGTGCCATGGACCTGAGTGACGTGAAGGAAAACCAAGACGCCCGAGAAGATTGACATGGAAGCTAGGATCTATGAACTAAACAACCAACCTAAAACCGAAACATATCCGCATCAAAATCTTCTATGTTGTTTATTCCGTTCATCAACCAAAGGTGTTGGATGTTTTTGCAGAAGGCACCCCTGCCACTGTACACAATACTTATCCATATGCAAAATGTAAGACGGACATCAAGGGCAATCCAATACAAATCCATACAAAGCAAATGCCAGGTATCGAGCAGTCGGTAAGGCATGGTGCTCATCACTGACACCTGAGCCAAGTTCGAAACATGACAGGCTAGCTCCAATCACTAATTTCACCATAAAGAGTAGCGCCAAGTTCATGGACGGGGTAGAGAATCGACCCACCGGGGAGCTGGGTGGTAGAGATGCACTCAGCGCGCGCACTTTGATGAAAAGGGGGCATTCATGAAATAGAAGAGGACAGCACAAAGAATGATATTGCTGAGTTGAGTGTTCTCTCAGCTGTTCATCGGAGAAGCCAACTTCAAAACTGATGGCTTGCCTGGCATAGCACAAGAACTCACATCTATCGGGGCGTTCGGTGGATTGGTTGTCCCCGGAACAGGACAACAATTATTGTTCAATAAGACTGTTGGCCACGCAGGTCAAGTTTGAGCCTGCACGTTGAGCACCGTCGGTGTGTTCAGCTCTGCCTTGGAAGAGGTTTGCAAGGTTCAAGCATATCTGACATCTCAAGTCATTCCTGTTCTGTAATCCAAGCATGTCTGGCCATGTCACTCTTGTCACTCTCAATACTTTGTAAGATGTTTCTTCGGAGGACAAGAGCTCCCCACCTTGGTGCCAAGTTGCCCGGTACAATCCAAAGCTCGTTTGTGTGGAGTCTGAAGACATCGGCAAGGATGTAGCAGTGTGAGCCAAGGACGCAATGGGCATGGCAGTTCCATCCTCAGCCAATGTGTCCCCAGCATGCTATTAGGGTGGAGGCCATCGCTACTATGGTGGAGGCCATTGCTATTGGGGTGGAGGCCATCGCTATTGGGGTGGAGGCCATCGCTATTAGGGTGGAGAAGCCCCTGAGCAACGGCGTCAGCTTCCACAGCGAGTGCACAGGAAGGATGTTGCTCTTGCTTGCCTTTCGGATACAGTTTTGATTTTCTGTCGCATGGACATATCCGCCGACCCCGCCGGTTGAAGGGGGCGCGCGCCAGAGAAGGTAACCGAGGGTATGCTGGAAGCGTTGCGGAAGGTCTGACAGCTTGAAGCGTTGCTGAAGGTCCGAAAGCGGAAGACAGGGCGTGCGCGACGCTGCTTCACAGACTTGTTTTACGGGTTCCGAACGCGACGTTAGAGATTCTGAGGGCGTACGGGGAGGACCCCTTCAGGGCGATTTGTGGTATCGAAGTAGATTGTGGAAAGCTGAGGGGTTTGAAGCGACCAGTATGGCAGAACCATTGGCCAGGTTCGAGGGGTTTGAGGGGTTGAGGGGTTTGAGGGGTTTGAGGGGTTTGAGGGGTTTGAGGGGCTTGAGGGGTTTGAGGCGTTTGAAGGGCAGTTTCGGGCCACTAGAAAAAAAAAAGGATTTGGCGCGCCAGAGCCCCGAGCCCACAGTCTGCGCAACTCCGCCCACAGTCTCGCACAGCCTCCCCTGGTGGCACTTTCGATGCCAAACACTCCCTCTGAATCCCTAGAAAAAAAACTTTTCTTTCATGTCTTGCACAAATCCTGGCTCCGAACACCTGACCCCGCCACGGCTTTTCCCACTCTAGTTCTGGTCCAAAACGAGCCTCCCCTGGTTGCACTTTCGGTGCCAAACGCTCCCTCTGAATCCCTAGAAAAAAAAACTTTTCTTTCATTTTCTTTCATTTCTTGTGCAAATTCTGGCTCCGACTTCTTGTGCAAGTTCTGGCTCCGAACACCGAGCGTCTCCAACGGCCAGTATGGCAGAACCAAGGCTTTGTGGCGAAGGGAATCACTGGGAGCAGGTGTCAGCCAGGCCAGAGGACCCGTGGGAGGTGAGAGAACTGTCTACCAGCCAGAGCACCTTGGGAGTTCACAGAACGGCTGCTTCACAGACTAGTTTTACGGATTCCGAAAGCGACGTTAGAGATTCTGCGGGCGTACGGGGAGGACCCCTTCAGGGCGATTTTTGGTCTCGAATTAGATTGTGGAAAGCTGTGGCGAGGGGGAATCACTGGGAGCAGGTGTCAACCAGCCAGAGGACCCGTGGGAGGTGAGAGAACGGCTTATTGTCTACCAGCCAGAGCACCTGTGGGAGGTCGCAGAACGGCTGCTTCACAGACTAGTTTTACGGA